AATGAAAACCTTCCCCATTTTGTTTCGCACCTCACTTAAGGGTTTCTATTTAATTGGTTATCTTTGTACAATCTATAAAGCACAGGGAAAGTTGTGCCCAGGATGGTGTTGCACGCTGAGTTTCCAGTTCCACTGAAAGAGAACAATAAACCCCCTGCTGCTTAGTGGTTCAAAACTGGCATTTAGTGTTCGTAATTCACTGGAGCCTTCATTTTTCATTTCATTTGATTAATTTTTATTTTTTTTTTATGAAAGCTTACCATATTTGCAAGAGACCAGTTAAGCCTGATTTCTGAATTTTTATTTGATTACATTAAACTTTTTGTGCAAAATGCAGAAAAAGTAACGATTTTGAAGAAAATGTACTCTCCTGTTCCAGTTAATAAATGTTTCATAACAAAAAGTAGTTGAAAACAATTGTACGGTTCTTCCAAAACAAAAAAAAATATACAAACAAAATTGAAATGTTATAAAAAATGTTCACCAAATTAAATAGTTTTTTGTTTGCTTTTTAGTAAAAATTGGTTGAAAAATGAAGGTTTCGGTGGTTTGTGAACATTAAATTCCAAATTTTGAACCACTGTGTGGTAGCAAGGGATGGCGAAGTCCTTGAAAGGGATTTGGCTTCATTTGTTCGCTACAGCAGGGGAACTTGTACAATTAAATAATACAATTAACTGTAAATATTTGATTTAAATTAAGATATGGGTAAGGTACTTTTATTATACGAGTTGTATGTACGTATTCCCAAATCATTTTGAAAAAAAAAGTCCTTTATTTTACGTTGGTTAATATGGTCACCGTAGGTTTACGGGATTCCGAGTTATTCGGAGGATATATATTAGATAGGGCAGCTTTATATGTCGATGGCAACACTGTTAGATCAACAGTTTGGTTGTCGTTACTATTTTTAGACNGTAAGGTACTTTTATTATACGAGTTGTATGTACGTATTCCCAAATCATTTAAAAAAAAAAGTCCTTTATTTTACGTTGGTTAATATGGTCACCGTAAGTTTACGGGATTCCGAGTTATTCGGAGGATATATATTAGATAGGGCAGCTTTATATGTCGATGGCAACACGGTTAGATCAACAGTTTGGTTGTCGTTACTATTTTTAGACGTAGATCTAGTGGATATGGCTTTAGATAGCGGAGGCTCAAATGCCTGAGGGCATGGAGAAGAAAGACTAAAGCTAAAAATGTTTGGCAGTTTAGTTGCCAATAAAAGAAAGTCCTATAAAGAAAGACCAATTATCATCTCATTAACATATCGCTACCTTAAAGTGAAAAGTTGCTAAGTCCACTTTTTGTGAAAACTCATATTTGGATATAGGAAACAAGGTAAATTAAAATCGCCACGTCTTAACGGATTAACTAACGTGCCTGTTTTATTTCTTCCCGCTAATATTCAATTGGATTTAAATTTACTAAGTCCAAAAGAGGCACAGAAAAATCGATAACCTCACAAAAAGTTCTATGAGTCGTTTTCTCAAGTAACCTGTAACTTTAAAGCTCACTTTATATTTAAAGTGTCTAAGTGAAGCATTTTATTATCGGTTTTAAATTGGTTTACAACCAAGAAACACACATACGCCAAAAACCGATAATANATACATACGTCAAAAACCGATAATAGAAATGCTTAACTTTAGACATAGCTTTATTTTTAATCCAACCTTTAAATATAAAGTGAGCTTTAAAGTTAGAGGTTACTTCAGAAAACGGCCCTAAGTGAAGCATTTTATTATCGGTTTTAAATTGGTTTACAACCAAGAAACACACATACGTCAAAAACCGACAATAGAAATGCTTAAGTTTAGACATAGCTTTATTTTTATACCCGAGCGCACTTGTGCACAAGGGTATATTAATTTTGTTCACATAACGGTTGTTTGTAACAGCCAAAACGAATCGAGATAGATATAGACAAATGTATACATAAATGATCAGGA